TTGAGAATATCAGCTATTAATAATATCAGAGCCAAAGAGAGAAAGGTTTATTAATATGGGGACAGATACACTGGAAAGAATATTTTAAATCCTGTTCTTTCGTTGGGCGCCTGGGTGGCCTTGTGGTTATGCGTTGGGCTGCCATCTGCAAGGCTAGCAGTTCGAAACCACCAGCCGCTCCAAAGGAGAAAGATGGGGCTTTCTACTTCTGTCAGAGTGACAGTCTCAGAAACTTAGAGGGGCAGTTCCACCCTGTCCTGTGGGGCTGCTAGGAGTCACCATGGTTCCTTGGTCTCAGTGAGGTTGGTTTTGAGTACTTGTTTTCTTTCCTACCTACCCACTAGCTTGAAATACAAGAAACAATGTACAGTTTTCAAGACCCGGGGAGGGTGAGTTTGAACCTCAGACCTTTCCATTAGCAGCTGGACGCCTCAGCACTGCACACCAGGGCTCTTTTGCACCACGTAGGGGATTGGAATACGTGTTACTGTGTAGGATGGTGCTTTGGGCATAATTATGAGTATCTTTCCATTTTCTCAGGGAGCCCTGGTGGCATAGTGGGTTATGAGTTGGGTTGCTAACTACAAGGTCAGTGGTTTGAAACTACCAACTGTGCTGTAGAAGAAAGAAGAGGCTTTCTACTCCGGTAAAGATGTCTCAAAAAACTCACAGGGCAGTTCTACACTGCCCTACAGGGTCCCTATCGGTCGGAATCAACTCGGTGACAGTGTGCTAGACTTTGGTTTATCGTTTTACAAACCACAGACTTTCAAAGTGGCTCTTGAGTTGCCTCTGGACCTGGTGCTGGAAAGGTGGTGGGTCCTGTGAAGAGGCCACAGCTGCTGGCAGGTGAGCTATCAGAGGTCTCCCCTGGAGCAGGTGGGTGGGCTATGTCCTGGTTGTACAGGGTGTGAACTTGAAGGTGGGAAGTGTTTGGGAAAGTTCATCTCTGATATCCATCTTGGAATTCTTTCCAGATTTTCCCAAATTATTATTATTTTAAAGGCGTGTTTCTAGGGCCTCAGGTTCTGTAGGAAAAAATCACAGTAAAAATGTGTGTGGGGGTGGTGGTCGTGGTGGGGGACCTAGCACCCTTCATAAATTCACTTGACATCCATTTCTGTGAGGCTCAAGCCAAATCTCCACTTCAGGGGTCTTCAGTTAATTCTCCTCCTCCAGGGAGGTACATGCTTTGTTGACCTGCACTGCCTCGCGGACTCCGGCCTGCTAGCCTCGGAGGTATGAGAATGCCAACGCCCATGCTTGGTGCATCTCGCCGTGCAACTGCTGCTGTGGCCAGGCCAGTCCGTCCCTGCGCGTTCCTCGGGACCTCGACTCCGCTCAGTGGTTTCCCTGAGCGCGCTGCAAACACCCCCTGCCCGCGCGCGCTCGGAACCGCGGGCTGGAAACGGGCCTCTGCGGGCCGGACCAACGCCAGCCCGCGCTCGCCCTCTGCTGGCGGCCGGTGCGCCCGAGCTTAGCCACGCAGGAAACCCCAAGTCCGTTTTGCAAGGACAGCCAGCGTGCTCCTTAGAAGCAGGGATGGCCCGACTTCTCCCACGTACTTTGGACATATTGTCAGGAGATACCAGGCATTATGCTTCGTGAAGTAGAGGGGCAGTGAAAGAGAACTTGTATGCAGCCAGACACCCAGATAACCCCTTGAGTGCAGGGTCCCAGATGGTCCCCACTGCCAGGGACCCTGCCCTCGGTGGGCACATCTGGCTCAGCGCCCCCCCCCCCCCCCCCCCCCATCATTCTAGGTCAGCCAAGACTAGGCTCATTCCCTTGGGCCAGCTTCAGTTGCCACCCCCCACTCCCGGTCTAGTCCCTGGGATGGGGACTCTCTGTGGGGCCTCCCCTACAGGCTTCTTCATGGTCTCCAGATCTCTCTGCCTGCCTTTCCGTTCCAGCAGACCCAGGCACCCACTTCCCAACATCCCCTGCCCCTGCAGGAGGCTCTGCAGAGTGGTTCTGCCTTCCTTCTGGCCTGCTGACCCTGCAGCCAGGCAGATCTTTCCAGAACATTTTGATCTTGCCTTACCCCTGCTTGACCGCCCGCCTTTCTTTCCCTGTTTAGCACCCGAATACTACTACTGCTGTGTGGGTGCCGGGCCACGGCAGCTCACCCACACGCCAGGTAAAGTCAGAGGTCAGCGAAACAGAGGCTGATCCTCAGCCAGATGGATTTGTTAGGTCACCAAGAAAGGGACAGGGGTTGTCCCTCCCATGCCTGCTCAGGCCCCCCTAAAGGAGTTGGGAAGGAATCAGGCGATCATTAAACACCTATGAAGACATTACCTGAGTGTGCTCAAATTCAGGTCCCCCAACCCCCACCCCAGCCAGGTGGGCGATACTAGGTCGGGGCTCATGACCCTACCCAGGTGGACTTAATTCAGTCAATGGGGCCAACCAATACCTTCCACCATCTCTGGGGCTATTTCTTGCTGATTTGTTTGCTGGCTTGCTCTTCCACCTGCATGGCCGGGTGCAGGGCCTTCCTGAAACCTTGGAGGGCCGGGAGGTCCTGGGTAAAGTTGGCGAGGGTGGGTTCTGCTTTGTTCTCCATGGTCTCCAGGTCACAGTCAGGCTGCGTGGTCATCGTGGGAGAGCTTTAGTCAGGTTGGCCCTTGCTTTGGGCTAAAGAGGAGTCTCGGGCAGAAGACACAGCTGTGGTGCATTGTCACAGAATCTTGGCTTCAAGATCTCACGCCTATTTGTTAAACTGGGTATGCACTTGAAGAATCACTTTGCACTTGGCATGGTTTTCTTGCAACAAGGAATTTACAGCTCCTCCTGGGCGGCCATGATCTATAATACCCAGGTCTGTGCATGACGCCGGTGTGTGTGTGTGGGGGGCACTTTTTTTTCAAAACTAAAAGGAAGGTCATACATTATTTGTCCTGTTGTGATTGGTTTATTTTGCTCGGCGCTCTGCAAAGAACATTGGTGAACAAGACCCTTTTGGAGACGGGTTTCCAGTCTGCTGGGAGGATGTGTAGGAGCGGGGCCGCTGCAGTTCCCGCTGTAGTTCCTTGAGGCATTGCCAGTTTTCCACAACCCTGCGCCCCTTTGCATTCCCTGCCAACCCCAGTCTTTTTCAGGTGCTTTTCCACTCCTCTGCAGCAGGGATGGCAAGGTGTCTCCTTGTGGTTTTGAGTCCCATCTCTCTGATGGCAACTGATGGTGACCGGTTTCATGTTACTTGAAGGCCACCATGTGTGAAGTGCCTATTCGCCTGTTTTACGACCGGCTGTCCTTTTGTTGCTGCAGTTCCTGTCAGATGTCTGGTTTCCTTTTCCTTCTCGGTGAACAAAGGTCTTTGACTTTATGACGCCCCCCTGAACGACTGTCGGTGGCGGTGTGTGCTTTTAATCATCACAGTCGACAATCCGCTCGGCCTGACAGTGTTGCCCTGGCTGGTGTTCTAGAACGTTTGTGGTTTCAAGTTTGCACCTTCAGGTCCTTAACCCATTGTGAATTTGCTTTTGTGTTTTTCCTCGTTGTAAAACACTGTAACATCTGAGAAACAATTCACATCGTATCAGAAAATGCTTTAACAAGATGGAGTGGATTACATTCCAGCTGTGTAGTCGTCCCTACCACTGGGGAGCCTCTCCTCCACTCCGCAGGGCGTTAGTCTGCAGCGTTCTGCTCTGGGGCTGTGTGCGTCTGACTTGGGCCGAGGGGCAGTGCCAGCCTTATGCACTGAGACGAGCCGGGTGTCCTCTTTCGGGGAAAAAGTTGTGAAGGACCAGGTCCTTTCTTGGAGCGGGTGGCAGAGGCTGCAGCAGCGAGGGCATCTAGACCTGGACTCTGATCCAACCCCTCTCCTCGTGGTGGACCATGTTAAGAAGGACCAGACGGATGGCAATGAATGGCACGTAACCACATACCCCATCCAGGGGGAAGAAGAGCAGAAACCAGAGGGGAAGGGAGACAGCGGTTGGTGTGAGATTTGAATAACAGTCTACAATCTATTAAGGGGCCATGAG